AAACGAAATTGATGTATCCACTCGGAGAAGAAAGCGCATAATGGCTTTAATTGGCGTCAATATTCCACTTGCATAGTCCAGAAGTTACTTTTCAGGAAGGGTTTTTTTTTGGGTTCGTAACGAAAAGTCGTGGCCAAAGTGTAGTGTGATGTTTCCTTCAATATATTTTTTTGGTTTAAAATGAGATCCATTTCTTACTCATCAATGGTAGATGATCATCTCCTATAAATTCATATAAGACATATTATCTATAAGTGAACCCCTCATTCATGCATGACAAATTATCCACGTTGTGTGCAATTGAGTGAAAGTATAATGAAAAAGATTCAGATCTCTTATTGAAAGACCAAAAAAAGATGTCCATCAATACATGGTAGCCTTCGTGCATGCAAGCATGCATAGTTAATGATATAAAAAGGAGGGCAACTTGTTACCTAGTTCTATGTCGATGTTAAAATGAGTGATGTTACTTGGATCTAATTATTCATTTTTTTTTAATTATTTATAATCATTGAATTGATAGTGAACTTTAGTGTTTGTTAGAACTCATAACCGATCTAAAATAATTGTGATAGATTATATAAGTAAATTATATTAACAGATTAGGTCAAAATAATATTATTGTATTCAAATTTGTGACCTTTGATTGTTATTAATGAAGTGCAGATAGTGGCTTACTTGATCAATTGCTGCCACCACATCTGCTAAAGTTCCCAAGCTCGGGTATATAGCTTTATAAACAGCAATTCTGTTGTATGGAAAGATCAATACATACAAATTAACTTATCTAATCAATATCACATCAACTATATATTAACAGAAAGAACTAAGGAATTATGATATGATCCTGAATTAAGAATCAGGTAAGGATATGAAATGAAAAGGATTATAGAAAATTACCTCGCTCGTGGCGCCATCCCACTGGCTCGTCCATAGCAGAAGCCATCGACGACCACTGGGACTCCATAATTTCCGGCGGCAGTTGATGCCACATGACTGAGAAATAGCAGATTCTTTCTTGTCATGGTGATGAAATTATAAACAACGTTGTGTGAAAACTGAAAATTTACAATGCATAAGGTAAATATGCTCATTAACTTCTGCCAAGTCGAACTTGAGTAAAAATTTGAGTTCGACAGTCAAGTTCAGCTCAAGCTCTGGTACTCAGGTCCAAATCAAGAATGTATTTATTTGAACTTGAAAAGCTCGACGTGCTTAACCCGTGGATGCAAAAACAACATAAAATCTATTTGCATGGATACCCAACTCTGAAATGACAGGTAGCTTGAAAATTTTATTAAGGGCACGGTGATTATACCTGCCATGTCCAACTGCATCAAAAGGTGAGAGAAAGTCGACAGAGGCATTAAGAGTAGCAACTGCTTGAGCCCCGGCTGAGAAAAACCTTGCGGAAACAATCTTACCATTGCAGGAACTCCAAGGAAATCGAGGACCATCCTCACATGCACCAGAAAAATGAGAAAGATTTGACTGGAAAGGATTTGTGGGATCATAACAGAAGCTTGGGTGTACTGGGTTGATCCCAGTGTCCACAAAACCAATCACAATACCTTCACCTGCATTTCTCTCTCCTCCTTCCTCTGTCCAAGCTCCTTCTGGTAACCCTAGGAATTCAGGGGTGTAACTTGTCATTATTTTGGCTCTCCTATCTCTCTCTACCAGCTTAACTCCAGTGGCGTTTTTCATTTTTTCAGCCTGAATATTTGTACAACCAAAACCCTAGATTATATGTTTGAGCTACAGATGAATTTTAAAAATGTTGAATGAGAAAGAATTAAGGAGAACCTGAGAAGGGGTAGTGTGGACAGCAAAGCCATTGACAATGTGTTTGAAGCTGTAGAGCTTGTTGTAGCTTCCTTTGTCTAAAGTGCTCTCTAGAAGCTTGTCATGGGAATCCACCAAGTGTTTTGCATGGGCCTTGGAAACTTCACTGAACAAAAAGTATTAAAATCTAACTAATCATAGCTTAGCTTTCTGAAACAAAAAACCTGCCTATCTGCACCAAAGATTAGTAGAATTTATGTTCAAACTATCGGCTAATACTGATATGACTTGGCAGTATTGGATGTGAGGCCGATATACATTCTATAAAACTATGAATCTCACTCAACTCATGGTTGATTCAAAAAAATTTCAGAGGGTTCAACCGAATTGTCTTAGACTCTTGGTCATCAGTCCATATATAAGGCGACATCAATTCGCGATGATAACGTTATATGCCTTTAATCTTTAATTTTTTAATCTTCTATTTAGTATTTCGTGCATATCACCTAATATCCATTCAATACTGGTTGCACCCTCCAAGTGAAAGGTCACTGACCGGACTGATCGACGTACGCATTTTACTCTTTTTGAAACGATCACAACGGACAAGGATGAATGAGTATATAAATCATGCAATCTACGAAGTTTGAAGACAAGACCTGCTAGGATCAGGTTTTCTTCCTTCTTCGGTAGACACTGAACTGTGATGAAACGCAACCGGCTCGCCTTCTACAAGGACCAAATATATATCCCGCTCTTCTGCAATACATGCAGTAACAATCACCAAGAGGAGAAGTGCTCTATACTGCCATGAAGCCAACATATGTATCGCTTCTCTCATGGTTACAGCACCATGAAAAGAAAGAAGGTTTGGGGATTCAAAACTTCTCATTCACTTGAAAATGGCGACGAAGAATATAAGCTTTTAATAAGCATGCAAAACCAAGGGCTTCAACATGCTGTTAACGTGAATAAAGCTTGTTGATAGGGCTGTAAAAGAACGATTGATCAATTGTCTTTAAGTAACCGTCACCTTTCTGTTTTCGTTCGTACGTATTCAAAACTGAGAGATTCTAAAACGTCATGGTGCATATTGCCTTCGCCATTTCATGCCAAAAACCAAGCAGTTAGAGAGAGAGAGAGAGAGAGAGAGAGAGAGAGAGAACTTTAGGGGAAAAAAAAAGAGAACCTAGAGAGGGTTGTCATGACTGAACACCCATTGAACGCTCATCATTGCTGATCATCTGACTCATCTACCATGAATAATCACTATCCATCTGTGTGTTTGAATTATTANGGGGAAAAAAAAAGAGAACCTAGAGAGGGTTGTCATGACTGAACACCCATTGAACGATCATCATTGCTGATCATCTGACTCATCTACCATGAATAATCACTATCCATCTGTGTGTTTGAATTACGAGTCCCAGATTATATAGCATTGATTAGGCATTTGTTGGAGAGTTGAAACATACAATTCTTGATCAACACATGCTCAAAATTACTAATAGGAAATAAATACGATAAAATGGTACCGATAAAAGAATTCACTGCACAAAGCAACCGTCATTCAAGTATGTGAAGAGGGTCATCATCAACCACCTCGTTAACATTGTGGAATGTCACAAGAGATTACATTCTGCCCATCAAAATGAAAAATCAGACTGAACTATAACATGCATTTTTCATTTTACCTTGAAAATTTTCCGCCTATTTTATGGTCCCATGTCCTTTCAGGCCTCATATCCAGCTTAATCAGGGCTTATAAAGTCTGATAACACGACAATTTTTTTGTTTTGGAAAGTAAAAAAAAATTCTATTTATCAAAAGGAATACATATACATGTGTCGGGGTGATACCCTTCCAAAATACAATAGGTATCACCTATTATAACTTTAAAACCTATACAAAAGGCAAAGAGCTCGAAAGGTATACAATTCTAAAAGAAGTAAATGCCTTGAGCCAATAATTCCCTCGGAATTATGTGACGAAAGAGCCCTAAAAACATTATATCTGTGAGTACATGATCTCAATCAAAAACAAAACCAAACCGAGGGGATCATTCTGGTTTCCATCAACCAGTTACTCCACCAACTGTTGGGTAGCTGCCATGCTTGAGCTAACACGACCACTTTTCCTTCAAATAAGAATACAAGCCTCTTGGGAAAAATCCAAAAAACTATAGTGGAAAAGAAAGAGAAAGAGGGGGAAAAAAAAAGAATTGCTAAAGCAAAGCAGAAGTGGAATGAAGCCCAATTAGAAGCAACAATAATTAAAGCCATCATCAATCAACAGACCTCCTGCATTGTCCTCCTCCAACCTCAATCACTCCACAATTCATTGCATGGCCCAGTATGTTTGTTAGCCCCTACCAACATAACATGCTTATTTGAATGACAACAAACACCATGGTCCCAGTCTCCCAGAACAAGAAGTTTTACATCAGCTGAAAATGAGATAGTTTAGCTGCCATAGTACCACTAGAGATTATATAATCACATACTAATTTACTGAATCATCATTCTGGACATGATGTGTACTGCAAAATTATCTCATAATTCTGGCATACGTACACAAAAATAGAACACATCAATTACTACAAGTCACAGGTCCTGAGCAGAGTACCAGTATGGTTCTCTGCACTGTACAATGCCCACAACAACAGCTGCATAACTTCTAAAACTTCAAAGAAAGTGATGTCTATTTATGCCTCATGACCCCTCCAATTGCATTCACCTCTTCTGACGCTTCGGTTCCACCTGCAAGAGATCAGAAGCTTTATTGAACAATCAAATTATATGTGAGAAGTAGACTGCTATAGCAACATATAACATAAGCATCCTATGTGCATAAAAATAAAAGAAGGCCCCTACTAAGCACGATGAGATGTTTTGACAGACACAACATTACCGATCAGTGATACAAAAGTCATTTGTGCAAAGCTTATACACAATGTCGGCAGCATAAAAAAAACACACGTTACTTCAAAAAGTAAACAACTTGAAGCAAGTGACATTCTAAGTTCAGATAACTTTGTACTGGAAAAAAGAACAAGAGGAGAAAGGGGGGGGGGAAATTTTGGGCATTAAAACCATGGACAGTGGTAAAATACTTTTTTACTCATGATAAGCACTGGGACTGGTCATAAATGCTTGTGGTAACCCCGCCACTAGAAATTCAGATACAAAATGTAGAGCACCAATAAATGCATTCACAACACAGTTTTATCAGGAAAACATCCACGATTGATAACTTTGAACTTCAGGAAGCCAATTAGACATGCCATTAAAACATAAAACATACTACACCGAGTCTGCGCAAACCCCAACACTAAAATGACCCGATAGGGAAACTTTTGTCAGGAACCCACCAGAATAGACTTTGCCTCACTAGGTTTCATTCTACTTTCAGAAGCAATGACACAAGTAAATTACCAAACGAAATGGCCACACAGAGAGAGTGGGAGAGAGCAAATATCAGGAAAAATGTCGGAACTCAGGCAAATCATCATTCCTAAATGTTTCATTGCACATCCTGGTTTGGATTCAACATTTCTGTTGACCCACTTGCAGTCATGTCTACTTAAGCCTACTAAAGCTAATCTTCAATGAGAGCATCAAATGAAAACTCCAGCACACCAATTGCAATAACTCTCCTTAAAAAAACACACTACTCCTGTCAATACACACATTCCCCAAAAAGAGATGCTTGCCTCAAAAGAATAAAAAGTCAAATGGTATAACTCCAATAAAAAGGGATAGCTAAGTAGTAGAGGAAGTCAGAACGCTGCATAGATAGAATCCGCAATCCGCATGCTATTCCTAAGGCAATGATCTAGAGAAGGAAATCACAAATCAGTTTCTCCAAGCAATCAAGCAAACAACATCGTCTATTGCAATGTAGGTCAGAATATATGATGCAACATTTAAATTGAAATTACCACATACATTCAAACCATGGTAAACAGTAATANATATCAGGAAAAATGTCGGAACTCAGGCAAATCATCATTCCTAAATGTTTCATTGCACATCCTGGTTTGGATTCAACATTTCTGTTGACCCACTTGCAGTCATGTCTACTTAAGCCTACTAAAGCTAATCTTCAATGAGAGCATCAAATGAAAACTCCAGCACACCAATTGCAATAACTCTCCTTAAAAAAACACACTACTCCTGTCAATACACGCATTCCCCAAAAAGAGATGCTTGCCTCAAAAGAATAAAAAGTCAAATGGTATAACTCCAATAAAAAGGGATAGCTAAGTAGTAGAGGAAGTCAGAACGCTGCATAGATAGAATCCGCAATCCGCACGCTATTCCTAAGGCAATGATCTAGAGAAGGAAATCACAAATCAGTTTCTCCAAGCAATCAAGCAAACAACATCGTCTATTGCAATATAGGTCAGAATATATGATGCAACATTTAAATTGAAATTACCACATACATTCAAACCATGGTAAACAGTAATATAGTACAACATTTGCCAAGTTAAAACAGCAGTCAAGATATCTCATTTTTGGTCACACAATCCCCATGGATGTAAAAGTACACGAGAACGTACAAAAATTTGATGAAGGGCAAGTAAGTCCTACCCGTGTTTTTATAATCATAACAACTTGTTCAATGCATGCTTCCAGAAATAAAACAAAGCAACGCAATTTCAATAAGGATAAATAATAAGCGAGATGGTGTGTCTCTTAGAAATGATTGTAGTATCTAGAGAAGTCCATCTAAGCAAGCAAACTGGCATCTATATTTAAGCTATTTCACAATTTATATATAAACACACACACACATGCAAACATAGAGGGAGATTATTTGTGTACAACTTCAATTTGTATCCATAGCTGGTACAGTGATTATCTTACTCATCAGATATCACTTCACTAATTGCATATTGTAGTAATGTAAAGAAAAAACGTAGAATAAACAGATAACAATCTCCAACTTCGCTTCGAAATTTATTTGATAACTTTTTGCATCAAAGGCACATTTCTCAATAAGCTTCTTCATTATTTGGCTTATCCCTCAAAGCTACAATCCCATATCAACCCAGATAACAAGCAAAAAGTGTATCTTTTGCAATACATAAGCCATCTTAAGCCAAGCCAGGTGAGGCAAAACTACAAACAAACAATCCAGCCTAGGGTCTCACCTTGCCAATAGTCAATGGGGATGCAGGAAATGTATTCCCAGATTTTTTCACACCATCTTCTAATGAACACTCACAACAAATGAAGTGGTCTAAATGCTTTGCCTGTTCAATAGTCATGCCCACACAAGCAGGATGATACCTACAAGGACCATAGTGGACAACACATTAGGTACCATAATATAGACATGGAAGTTACCACAAGTTCACCATTTACAAATCATATAATTTAGGCACATGAGGAGGCTCAAAAGCTAAAGCGCAGCATCAACAGTAACTGCATAGAAGGAAAATCAAATATCAATCCCAATAGAATACAGTTTTAAACAGTTATTACCAGTACAATAAAAATAAACAAAGCAAGGCCCGCAACCATCAAATGTTCATAAATTAAGATAAAGCAAATAGAACTCATATAGAGGAGCATATGACACCAAAGGCTGCAGAAGACGTTGACAAAGTCAAATTCAAATTTTTAGAAAGAAGCCAATCAACTTAATCAACTTTCAGAAATCATTGAAAGAAAATGTTTATTTAACCAAAACGAAAGAAAATGTTTATTAATTTTGGTATTTGTCAAAAATGTGTTAGGCCCAGTGGTAAACTTTAAACTTAGACCCCTCAAGAGAGACACACTTCATTATCTCTTTTCATTGCAGACAAAAAGTAGGAAAATAAAAGAAATAAAATCTTAATTTTTTTTTTTTTTTGATAAAAGAAGATATTTTTTTTTGGAATCTGTTTATTTTATTTATTTCAAACCACTGAAATCTAAGACACCACTGAACAAAGTAAAGTCCAACTACAGAACAACTACGCATCTTTTGCATATCCAAGCAACTACTTTAAGATAGCTTGGGGCAGGCACTCTTCTTCGGAAAGAGGAGTTGTTTGCCCTACCACATCAACCACCTTACCGCTGGAAGTTCTAGCAATGGGCAGCTAGGCAAAGGAAGAAACTATAGCAGGTCTGAATATTTTATGTTTTTGAATTTCTTTTACTTCCAATTTATTCATGGCCAAATGATGGCCCATGGAAGTTCACCAAATTATAAACTTATAACAAACATAAAAAATGCACCCACAATAAAACGATCAGAAACACAACATAGATGAGAAGAATCTATGTACCAGTCCTTGCACTCATCACACTGTACCATCAAATCATCTGGGTTATATGGCATCTCACATTTGCAATACCTTTAGGTGAAAACCACAAAACACATTCAGAAACTGACAAACACAATTAACTGAATTGCAATCAAGCAAACCATACAACACTTACACTGCAACACGGTCTGGCACAAACGCTCCAGTGGCAGCTTTATACTCAAATCGACAATAGTAGTCCTCCGGCCCAACATTCTCAAGCTTGGTATAATTCTTGAAAGAGTGAATGATACACTTGCCTTCAATGGTGTGGGCACTCTGAACATCATAGTGATCTGACAAGAACAGCTCTTTCGATCCGTGAAACTGTCTCCGGCCTCCCATTGACTCCTCTGGCCTATAGTACCACCTCACTCTAACCTTGACATTGTTCCGATTATCCGCTTCAATCTTCTCAATACGTGCCACGTATGGGGCTGTATCCGTGTCTGATGATCTCAGCAATACACAATCCCCAGCTTCAATACACAAGAAAACAATTGAAAAAATATTGAGTCATTGGGTAATGCATATAATCTCATGTATGTCAGCCTGCGCCAGTATCACTTTCCAAAGGATGCATCAACACAAATCTCCAGCATTAAAACCTCTACAAAAAATCATAAACAGTTCTTGACCACTCAAAATGTGCATACATGGGGACACATATGTATGCTTATAGACAAAATGTCGTCTCAGTGTCTGATGTCTGCATCAACACACCATCTGNAAACCTCTACAAAAAATCATAAACAGTTCTTGACCACTCAAAATGTGCATACATGGAGACACATATGTATGCTTATAGACAAAATGTCGTCTCAGTGTCTGATGTCTGCATCAACACACCATCTGGCGCACCAAAACCACAAAATAAATCACTCAAGCTATGCACACCCACATATATAATTTCTTTTTTAAGGGTCTTTATCAAGAACAGCATGTAATTACTTAAATGTAAGCATATATCGAGATTCACAAGCGCATATACTTTTAGATGCATGTATATACTGGGTCGTAGCAGTGCTAAATCAGAACATCAATGTGCAAAGCCCAGCTCCAAAACCCACCGACACAGTCAAAAACAACATTTAATCACCCAAAACGATTATATAACATATTTGTAAACCATAGAGAAAAAAAGAAAAATATAAATATCTGCAATGTCCGTATAGGTGTGTATGTTACCTCTGACGACCTTGTTGGTGCCTCTGATGGTGTAAGAATCCAAGTCTCGTTTGCCAGGTCTGGTCTTGGCCATTGAAAGCGGACAGTCTGGGTTGTAGTCTTCAGTCCCAAAGACTGAGCTTTTTCTCACAGATTTGGGGTGTATTTCAACTGAATCGAAAATTTAGGTTCATCGTTCGGGATTGTTCGGAGATTCTCGAGATTGGTCGGTTGATCGACTTTGGCGACAATGGCGATGGTGTTTATAAACCCTAGATTGTGCAAAATAGAAAACCTATAGCTTCTAGATTTTTTGATCCAAAAAAAAAATATATATATATATCTAGAAGCTATTGATTTTCACTAATGGAGACTAGCTGTATCATTTTTTGGGGAAAAGGAGATTGCTTGCACCTATTTATAAAGAAATGACTTTCTAATAAATCTCCAATCCATTGTCACAATTTTTACTGCTGCAAACCCAGGGGGCTAGATCAAGTGGTTTAGATGCCTTAAGTTGGGTTCAATACTCCCGTTATGAAAATGTTCTTTTAAGGTCACCTTTTCTAGATTTAATCATGTGCGTGGAAAGTAAGTTTTGCGTGTTGGCTCAATTGACTAATGACTATAAGTTTAAATCAACACGATTGGTAGGTTCTTGAGTTACATTGTTACATCTAAATTAATTCAAAATCACAAATTTACATTCTACATAGTTTTTACTGTACAGGAATCACAAATTCGGGATCGCAAATATAATCTAAAATGACTCTGGACCCTTAGATTAATTGGGTCTTGTGATTTTTTTCGATGGAATTCACTAATTTAATGGTCGATAGTCAATTTGAGATTCTATTTAGGATCCATAGTATTTTTCTTATTTTTGATTTTGTCTCTTGATGTGAAGCAATGGGCAGCCACTAAAATAATGAATTATTGGATTAGATTATGATATTATATATATTTTTTTATTTTTGAAATCATACTTCATTTTTTTTTCTCATCTTGTAGAGATACATGTTATATTTTATTTAATTGTGTCACTTTAACTTATTTTTTTAATGATAAATGAATACAAATAACTGAAAGCTAGCTCTTTCAGTGAGAATCAATAAATTAAATTTCATAATGCACGGCACCATCAATTGGGTCAAGTTGTCTTGACATTTATCCCTTATGTATGAGCATCATTAAATCAAATTATAGTTGAATAATTATTTAAGTTCAATTTAAAGTTTGAGCTGAGTTTGGAATAATCCAGTAGCTCAACTTGATCAATGTTTAAGTCCCAACTTAGTATTGATTCAGCTACTTATGATTCAACTTAATATTAATTATTCTGATTCAACTACCTATAAGGAAGCTTCAAATGACAAAGTCTTGCTAGACAAAGGAACAGAGAATGAATGCAATGCAGATCTCACTACAATAGATACCTCATATGAGACATGTCCCAAGATTAGCTTACCCAAGAAAATCTTATATAGGATTAAGAGCAAGTAGAGAGATGGTCTCATAGTAAAACAAATTGGTAGGAATATTGGTTATAGAGAGTTCTACAATAGGGTGCATAATATTTAGGGGTTGCAAAGGGATTTTGAAACCATTGATCTCGATTTTTGGTTTTATATGTTCAAATTCGAGTTGAAATAGGATTGTTTTAAGGTATCTACAAGAGGACCTTCGATCATTATGAATCATTACCTTATAGTTTGTAAATAGGAACTAGATTTTATTGAATCACAAGCTCAATAATTCTTCACAACATTATGGATTAGGCTTCTAGAGGAGTTGTTAGAATACTATGAAGAAGGAACCCTATTCAAGGCAACTAAGGCATTGTGGAAATCCATCAAAGTAGACATTAGAACAATCACAATAGAAAGGGGTAAGTTTGCAAGAGCATGTGTGGAAAGAGACCTCTCTAAGCCACAAGTATCTCATTTTACATTGGGAGGAAGATTGTTCAAGGTGGAGTAGGAATGTGTTCATGCCCTCTGTTTTTCTTGTAGAAGAGTGGAACATGTGGATCTTTAATGTCCATACTCTTAGAAAACAACAAAGAAGACAAGAAGGGTCTCTGGAGAAGAGAGACTAGTCAGAGTTGCAGATAGGGCTGTTAATCGAACTGAGCTATTCGAGCTCGGCTTGGATTCGACTTATTTTGGGCTCTTTCGAGTTCGTTCAAATTTTATAAACAAGCCAAGTATGAACACAATTTAAGGCTTGTTTATAAACGAACCGAGCTCGAGCTCGAATTCGAGTTGCTTGACAAGCTTGATATTTTTTACCTAGTTTTACTATTATTTTTTAGTGGTCTAATTATAACCGTCCATTCCAAATCTCTATTGAGATCCAACGGTGACGATAACATGTATATTAAGCTGTCTAACCCTAAATCCCTAATACACCCAAACCCAATCTGGCAACCTGAAGGCGCCCTCAACTCTATCTCTTGTCTGCCACTCATTGGTGAAGCCCTCAACTCTATCTCTCGTCTGCCACTCACCATCTTTCGTCTCCATCTCTTCTTCGTGGATTAGGTACAACTCTCAAGCGACAAGAGTCTGGTTGTGCTGCATCTCATTTGAACAATTACTTTGTGCATCTCAAATCTGAACATCTATGATTATTTATTTTGTTTGACCTCTTGTTATTAGCTTTGAGCTTTCATTAGTCTATTTTTCGATTATCCAAGTAGAGATATAGGGCTGGTTGGTTATTAAATTTGGGCACTCACCCAATACACCATCGAGGAATTTTGGCATGACCCATTCTAGTTGCAGCAACAACAAGACCATTAACTTGGAAAGGAAAACATTGGGCTTGCTAGTCACCAGTGGAAGAACTCACCTGTCTTCTCTCTTGTATTACTACTACACCCAATACAAGCCCAATGGTTAAGCAAAATAGGATCCTAATTTTTTTTACAAGTTGATTGCTGGGCTCTCTAATTTAGTTTTGAAGTCTGACCTAGATTAATTTTGGTGATGTGATCTTTTGTATTGCAGAGCTTGAAGGCTATTTATAACTATGTGGGCATGATCTTCTAGGATTTCTATTTAGTTTACATTCTTTGTCACAGTACATTATGATTAAATTTATTGAGGCATTGAGAGTTCTAAAATTTGGTAGTTTCTTTTAATTGTGACAAATGCTACTACACTGCCCATGTCAAATGTTTAGAAGAAGATTTGAAAAATAATTGGTGTGTGTTGACTTTGTTAGTAGGGGGATTTGGTAACTTTATCTCTAATTTGATCTTTGTTTTGTTCAGATGGCTTTTGATTCTGCGTCCCCTAGTATTGTAAATGGTGGAAATGAAGAAGCTATCGATAATGATGCTGCTACAATCGAAGGGCCTTCTGAAAATGAACCACTCCAAAAAAAAATACAGGAGGAAGACTTCGAAAGTTTGAGATAATTTGGAGATAATATATGAAAATGGAAAAAGAAAGGCCAAGTGTAACCATTGTAAAACAAGTCTTTCTTTGGGTCGAGGGGCTCCCACAACTCATCTTAAAAGGCACTTAAAAACTTGTCAAATTCGTCAAGCTTCTGTTTCTGGCCAAAAGAAAGGACTTACTCAACAATTATTGGCTCTCTCCTCAACTACTTCCGATGGGTCTGGTGGGTTGGCAGCTTATAAGTTTGACAAGGGGAAGGTAAGAGAAATTTTAGCAAAAATGATAATAGTGCATGAGTATCCTTTTAGGACGGTTGAACATGAATTGTTGTGATGCTTCTTAAAATCTCTGAACCCACGTTTTGAGCCACTTAAACGCCTCACCATAAAAAATGATTACTTAAAAATATATGTGAATGAGAAAATGAAATTGAAGAGAATGTTTTCTACTGTTGACCGAATTAGCTTGACGACAGACTTATAGACCTCCAATCAAACAATCGGGTACATGTGTCTTACCGCACACTTTTTGGATGTAGATTGGAAGTTACAAAAACGTATCTTGAATTTTTGTTGCTTGGCACCCCCACACACAGGTTTTGTGATTGTTGATGGTATTTACAAGTGTCTAACTGATTGGGGNCAATTATTGGTTATGGTTTTGAATCATTTTTTTTAAATATATCAAATACTAATTCTTGGTTATGATTTTTTCATTACAGGCTTTACTACGAGGGCACTTGGTTATTTATTTTGTGAAACATGCTGTTTTTTTTTTTTTGGGCATTTGACAATTTGTATGCTCTTTTGAAATTAATTTTTGTGATCAGTTTCATCATGTGGCTAGTTGTTGTTTAATTTGGTTGTTTTATGGACAATTTTTCTTGTTGGTGATGTGCATCAGTGNGGTATTTACAAGTGTCTAACTGATTGGGGGGATTAAGGATAAGGTGTCTACCATTACTCTAGACAATGTATCCTCAAATGATGCAGTGGTGAGAAATTTAAAAGATAATTTTTCTGTTAAAGGTAAGCTTTATTTTAATGGTAGAATATTTCATGTTCAGTGTTGTGCACATGTTTTGAATTTAATGGTACAAGATGACTTGGGTGAGATAAGAGATATAATTGAAAACATATGTGAGAGTGTGAAATACTTGAAGATGTCTCATTTGAGAATTGATAAATTCAATGAGATTGTAAAACAATTGCAATTGCCAACAACTAGGAGATTGATTCTTGATGTGCCTACTCGGTAGAACTCAACATATGAAATGTTAGAATCTGTATTTCTGTTTAAAGAAGTGTTTCCAAGGTACAAAGAAAAAGATAGCAACTATCGATGGTTGCCAACTGAGGATGATTGGTCAAGAGCTAAAGAGGTATGCAAGTTTTTAGAAATATTTAATATTGCTACATATCTATTCTCGGGTTCCTCTTACCCAACTTCAAATTTATTTCTTTGTGAAATTTGAAAAATTAGAAAGAATTTGAATGAGCATGAATTTGATAGTAGGGACTGTATGAGTCGCATGATTGCTAGAATGAGTGAAAAGTTTGACAAGTATTGGGGAGATTGTAATTTGTTGATGGCAATTGCAGCGTTTCTAGATCCTAGATATAAAATGAGACTTGATGAGTTTTGTTTTCCCAAAATTTATTTATCGGATGAAATAGTGCATTATATAGATGTTGTTCGTAATTCCTTGTATGATCTCTACAAGGATTATGTGTCTAAAGATGTACAACAACCAAAGACTTCGTCTGAAAGTAGAAATGTTGGTGGCACTAGCAATGTCAAGGGAAAGGCAAAACGTGTGAATGAATTTGATCTATGGGCCAAACAGTTGGACATTGTTCAACCGTACAAGTCTGAGCTGAAAATTTATTTGGAAGATGGCATTTACATTCGTGATGAAAACGACACTGAGGATTTTGATGCCTTAAATTGGTGGAAAGTAAACACTCTTAGGTTTAGAAACCTGTCAAAGATGGCACGGGACATACTATCTATTCCCATTACTTCAGTTGCTTTGGAGTCTGCTTTTAGTGCCGGAGGGAGAGTTCTTGACCAATATCGAAGCTCCTTGAAGCCCGAGACAATTGAAGCTT